TGTGATTCTCCTGCTTCAGCCTCCCTATTCTCTGGGATTACACACATTTACCACCATGCTTGGATAATTTATATTTCTTTATTTGAATGAATATACTCATTAGAATGTTTTACAAAGGTCTCAAAGACATTTGGCCTAAACCTCATATTCACAAATTATCTCCATTTTAAACTTTTTTTTTAGGGTATTGGGGATTGAACTCAGGGTCACTCAAACTGGGGAGCCCTAGTTTGTATTTTAGTTAGACACAGGGTCTCACTGAGTGGCTTAGTGTCTTGTTTTTGCTGAAGCTGGCTTTGAACTTGTGATCCTCCTGCCTCAGCCTCCTAAACTGCTGGGATTACAGGCACGTACCACTGTGCCCAGCTTAATTTTTTTTTTTTTTTAATGGTACTGTGAATTGAACCCATCCAGATCCATCCCTAGTCCTTTTAAACTTTTTGTTTTGAAACAGGGCCTCACTAAGTTGCTGAGGCTGGCCTCTGATTTAAATCCTCCTGCCTCAGCTTCCCAAGTCACTGGAATTACAGGTGTAGTATCCTACATCAGGCTCAAATTTAAACTTTTGAGATTGTTTCCAAATGATGTTCTATATCTAGTCACTGAGATATACTGACAAAAATTTACAGGGAAAAAACCATCATATACTAAATTTGTGACAATTTATTATGTAGTGCACTATGAATTAATATTTTCATAAATTCAGTAATTGCATTGTGAACAGAAAACTACTGACATTGGCCAGGCATGGTTCGTGCCTATAATCCCAGTGGCTTGGGAGGCTGAGGCAGGAGGCTCAAAGCCAGCTTCAGCAATTTAGCAAGGCCCTAAGCAACTTAGTGAGAACCTGTCTCAAAATAAAAAAATAAAAAAGGGATGGGGATGTGGCTTTGTGATAAAGCATCCTGGGCTCAATCTCCAGTCCCCACCCCTGCCAAAATATCAACATTATAAGACATACTACATTATAATTAAAAAAACAACCATGAGTTTTATATCTTGTTTTAAAATTTTATTTGGGAAGCCCTGAGTAGAATTATAACTTTATCTTTAAAGCTGGATAGTTTGGGGGCTGGGGATGTGGCTCAAGCGGTAGCGTGTTCGCCTGCCATGTGTGAGGCCCGGGTTCGATCCTCAGCACCACATACAAAGATGTTGTGTCCACCGAAAACTAAAAAAAATAAATATTAAAAAAAAAATGCTGGATAGTTTGGGGCTGGGAATGTGGCTCAGTGGTATGCATGAGGCCATGGATTTGATTTCCAGCACTTAAAAAAAAAAAAAGATAGCTTTAGGTCCTTAAGCAGGACCTAAAACTAATGATTTGTCCATAACCAACAGTATAACCACCTAACACTCTACGCTTACTAGTTTGTCACGTGACCATCACCAGAAAATTAGCAGCCTCTAGGAGAGTGGATCACAGCCTCAGCTGTAGTCAGAACACCTGCGTTTTCCCAGACACACTCCAGCCCTCCTGAACTACTACACTCTCCAGGGTTAGGAAGACTTCTCTCCTTAAAAAGCTCTTGGCCAGGGGCTGGAGATGTGGCTCAAGTGGTAGCACGCTCGCCTGGCATGCGTGCGGCCTGGGTTCGATCCTCAGCACCACATACAAACAAAGATGTTGTGTCTGCCAAAAAATAAAAAATAAATATTAAAAAGGTTCTCTCCCTCTCTCTTTAAAAAAAAAAAAAAAAAAGCTCTTGGCCATAAGCTGAGGATGTGGCTCAGAAGTAGAGCGTTTGCCTTGTGTGTGAGGTACTGGGTTTGAGCCTCTGAACCACATAAAAATAAAATAAAGACATTGTGTCCACCTAAAACTAAAACAAACTCTTCGCCTCTCTTCCTTCCTGGGCTGTATTCCCTATGGTTCTAGACTTAGAATCCAAGTCTGTCCTGTTAGTGCTATACATCATGAATTTAACAGATCTGAAGGCTAGTCAGAGGGCCTGCCACCGATTTCTTTTTTTCCCTTCCTTCTTTCCTTCCTTCCTTCCTTCCGTCAGTTATACATGACTGTTTCTGAGCCATCCATGGGCTGTGTGTATGTGTGTGTGTGTGTGTGTGTGTGTGTGTGTGTGTGTGAGCTATGTGCATTTGAGCTATATGAGGGGAGTAGTCTAGCACTGCATGCTGATTGGGCTGTGCTACGCAAGCGCACCTTTCCTCTCTGCCTGTGATCTCACACAGCACCTGAGATGGGTGTGACTTGCCAAGATGTCAATCAATCTGCTGACCACAAGACATCACAAAGCAAGACTCTACCTTTTGAAACCCTATCCCCTGCCTTATTTGGTGAAGAAATTTCCATCGAAGCTCCTGTTGTGTGCCCCCCCTATAAAGTAAGAGATTCCAGGTGGGTGCTCTCTTTCCAGAGCTGTCCAGTATGGAGCTGACCCTTCAGGTCGCAGAGCAATCCCACTCTCGACATGAGAAACTCATGTTTGTGTGTTGCATGGTTTTCTTAGTTTACTGCTGCAGCCAGCTCCTTTAAAACCAGCTCATTTTGTCGGCCCGGCCAGGTGGCAGGACGAGACAGCAGAATGATCTTTGATTTATTGTGCACAAATGGAGCATTTGTACCCAAAATAAGGTCATACCATTCGTGCAATCATATGTGTACCTAGGGTGAGAAGTGTCAGAAGACACTTAGCCCATTTATTGATTGGGTTGTTTGTTTGTTTTTTTTTTCTTTTTTGGTGTTAAGTGTTTTGAGTTCTTAATATTTCCTAGAGATTTGTGCTCTTTCTAAAGTGCGTGTGGCAAAAATTTGCTCCCCAAATGTAGGCTCTCTGTTCACCTCATTTCTTTTGTTGAGAACAAGCTTTTTAGTTGGACTCCATACAATTTATTGATTTTTTATTTTATTTCTTGTGCTCTAGGAGTCTTGTAAGGAAGTTGGGCCTAATCCAACATGATGAAGATTTGGGCCTACTTTTTCTTCTATTAGGTGTAAGGTCTCTGGTCTGATTCCTAGGTCCTTGATCCACTTTGAGTTGAGTTTTTGCATGGTGAGAGATAGGGATTTAGTTTCATATTGCTGTATGTGGATTTCCAGTTTCCTAGCACCATTTGTTAAAGAGGCTCTCCTTTCTCCAATATATGTTTTTGGCACCTTTATCTAGTACGAGATAATTGTATTTATGAGGGTTTGTCTCTTTGTCTTTTATTCCATCACCATTTGCAACCTTTTCTCTCTAGGGTGTTATGCTACTAATGCCCAACAAACAGTTTTGTTTAGAGTTTGAAGACACAGTCCACAGATTTTTTTGGAGAAACTGACCATAGAACTTTTGATCAAAATATCTTCAATTTACCAGGCATAGTGGTACATGCTAGCTACTCTGGAGAATTAAAGCAGGAGGATCACTTGAGCCTAGGAATTCAAGGCCAGCCTGGACAACATAGTGAGACCACCCTGCACCTCACCAAAAAAAAAAAAAAAAAAAAAAAAAAGGATGAATGCTGGATTGAAAGTGTTACATGTCAATTCTTGTAAATAATTTGCAATGTAAATAGGTTATTTCAGGCAGTAAAATTACAAGTAGCCCTAATAATCAAATGATTGGATCACCCCCCTTCATAAAGAGGCAGATGTAGAGAAATGGGTTTTCGATACAGGGAATAGCAAATTCCAGGACATTGGCTGAGTTCAGTTCACATGTTGTCCATTCTCATAGATTTTCCACTTCTTCATTCTATTTTTGTACTATGATTACTGATACTTTGAAGAAGAGCCTGAATCCCAGAAAGACCCTGCATTCCTCATTCATGAAATAAATATTTGATTGTGTTCATCTAAGCCTCAAACACATGGGACAATGTGCAGAGAAGTTGGAGCACATGGGAACCGAAGTTTCAGAGTACAGCCTCTCCTAGTCCACCTTCTCAGTTTACCCTGGCTTACATCCCATTTGGAGGGCTTATGTGTATGGGGACAGAAGATATATTTGCCTACTTCTTACTTCAAAAGCACAGGTGGATACTGAAGGCATCTTGACCAAGGTCATGTTTATCCTTTGAGGAGCTGCAGCCAGAATATTTGAACACTGACCAAGTTCAGAATAATCAAGAAATGACTGTGAATGTACATAGTAGAGGATGGTACTATGTTGATTATAAGTTGTAAAAGCTAGTGACTTAATCGTATTCCAGAATGATATGGTGGTGAAGATTTTCCAAATGAATCAGAGAGTGGAGGCAATAATCATTTAATTGAAAAATCAATTTGGTCTTCCTAATCCAAAGGTGAGAATGTTACAGGGAGGGCCATGTGTTTGGGTCCCTGTGGTTATGACTGAGTTCACAGGTCTGCTCAAGTTCCCGGATGCTGCGCTCATTTTTTTCCTTCCTGTATCATCCAAATAATTGTCTTTCAGCCCATGCTTCACTAACCTATAGATAGAATCCACTCATTTAACTTTCACAAGAGCCACAAATGAAAACCAGGGAAGCCATATCTCCTCTGCGGTGGAAAGGGTATAATTAGCTCTGTGTACAGCTTAACCCTACTAATTTTTCTGACTCATTTGGCCTGCAGTGTGCCCTTTCTGAGACCTCCTATGTTCTCCACGGTTGGAGATGCCCAAAATCACACGCAGCCCTTCTGGCGGGCGTGGCCTTGCATTCTTAAGACTGGGTAGAGCTGGCTGTACAGCTCCAGGATCACATGTGTTGAGCCACTCACAGATGCACAATACTATTTGAAATATAGGCGTGGGCTCTGAGTGGCTATATCAGATCCACCCGTCTCTTTTCTTTTTAAAAATGATTTTGACCTCTCAAGAAATACTATAATTGGTCAGCCTGGGGTGCGTTTGAAAGCCTCCGCGATGGCGTCATTAGCTATTCTCAGGAGAGGAAAGGCAGGGTATCGCCCCTGGGAGGATGACAACACTTGTTTCAAGTTGGGGAAGAGCCTGTGGTTCTCTTCCTGCATTTGGGGGAAAGCGAACACACAATGTTCATTTCCTAAATACGGGATGTGCTGTGCTGGCAGGTCATTTTCCACCATGTCACATCCTTCTGGGTGAAGGCAGCAGGGGTCAGGGCAGGAAATGGCAAATTCTCAGAATGAGACAAAGCTTTCCCAGGGCGGCTATTGGTTCCCTGGAACTATAAAGCACACTCATCCAGAAACAGCTTCGGAATTTTCTTTCCTGGAGGCAGCCAGAAGTGAATGGTAAGTGGGGATTCTAGGATATTGTCTTGAGAAATGGCCTTTGGATGGTAATACAAGGGTTGTAGCCTTGTCCAATATGTATCAGGGAAGTCTTTTTCTTATTTCTTCTTTTTACCTGGAAACATCACTTGTAGGTTGACTTATGGAAGCCTGAAAGTAAAATTAAGGTTCAGGAGTCAGGAGATAAAGATGCTAAAGTAGGCTCTGTGAAGAATCAGCTGCATCTAGAACATGTCTCTGGTTCAATTTCCTCATCTTCTAGATGAGAGTAGTGATTTTTGTCCTGATATCTCACAGTTTTGAAATGCTTTCTTTTTGTGGCTTATTTGCCACTTTAAAGAAATCCCTGACGGAGAAGACTACAGTTGACATGAAGATGGGAATCTCTGGTAACTAGGAAGGATGTACTTTTACCCCAGGATGTTCAGTTTTCTCTTTATTAGTCACCTTCCACTGGCTTCAATTCAATTTGGTACTAGATAGGTAACCCTCAGTGAGTTGTCAAACAACGTTTCTGGCCACTTTATTTTTTCTAGTTTTCTTGATATTTTTCCTTAATTATATTAAAGTTCCCTTAATTTTTAAAAGGAATCTTTAAACACCTCAAGACATGGAGGTATTAGTTGGATGTGATATCTTAGGCTTGATTCAAAGATAAGAGCCTGGAAGATTAGCAAACCAAAGAGAGTTGCTTCAGGCAAGAATCTAACTTAGAAAAATCAATTTCTTAAATTTGAAAGACAATATACTTTTTGAGATTTTGGGTGACTTATCTTTTTTTACTTATCAGAGAAAGAGCTGGGGAAAATGGTATTGGAAAATTCCTAGGATCCAAGTCTTCATTTGATGAAAGGCTAAAATGTTATCTTTCAAACAGCAAAGGCCTCCGTTTGGGAGTAGCCTTCTACCCCCACCCACCCCTATTTAAATATTTAACAGTTGATGCAGTCCATCTTTAGCGTTCCCTGGGAGAGAAGCAGAAGATGGCATTATTCCTATTTGCGTATGCGGATATAGTGTCTGAGAACCAGTGTGACTTGTTCCAGATCCCTGAACTTTGAGAACTTGACACATGACCCATTGGAAATGGACCGGTTTCACCTAGGGTGGCAATAGCGGGTGTATTTAATTTTTGACGACTCTCACTTAGGTGAGGGAAGCACAGGTTGAGTAGCGGCAGGCACCGAGGCTCCAGGTAATTGCTTTTCTGTGTCCCCTCAGGGCATGGAGCGGCCTGCGGCCTGGGAGCCGCAAGGTGCGGATTCGCTGCGTCGCTTCCAAGGGCTGTTGCTGGATCGCCGCGGCCAGCTCCACGGCCAGGTGCTGCGCCTGCGCGAGGTGGCCCGGCGCCTAGAGCGCCTCCGCCGGCGATCCCTGGCCGCCAATGTGGCTGGCTGCTCACTGAGCGCCGCGGGCGCAGTCGCTGCCATCGTGGGGCTTTCGCTCAGCCCTGTCACCCTGGGTGCCTCGCTTCTTGCGTCGGCTGTGGGACTAGGGGTGGCCACCGCCGGAGGGGCGGTCACCATCACGTCCGACCTCTCCCTGATCTTCTGTAACTCCCGGGAGGTGCGGAGGGTGCAGGAGATCGCGGCCACCTGCCAGGACCAGATGCGTGAGATCCTGAGTTGCCTGGAGTTCTTCTGCCGCTGGCAGGGCCGCGGGGACCGCCAGCTGCTGCAGAGCGGGAGGAACGCCTCCATGGCCCTGTACAACTCTGTCTACTTCATCGTCTTCTTTGGCTCACGTGGCTTCCTCATCCCCAGGCGCGCGGAGGGGGCCACCAAGGTTAGCCAGGCGGTTCTGAAGGCCAAGATTCAGAAACTGGCGGAGAGCCTGGAGTCCTGCACCGGGGCTCTGGACGAACTTAGTGAGCAGCTGGAGTCCCGGGTCCAACTCTGCACCAAATCCAGCCGTGGCCACGACCTCAGGATCTCTGCTGACCAGCCCGCAGGGTTGTTTTTCTGAGAACATCCTTTCCCCCTAATGACCTCGGCCTGAAACTACTCCCATGGGATGCTCCAGAAAAACACCACTTTGGGCTAAGAACTGAGTGCAAAGAATGTGAAAGTGGGTGGGTGCTCACAGCCCTTTTCCCATCACTGACATGCAGCCTGGGCTTGCATATTAGGAACTTCTCACTCGTGTGATTCTAATGGAGTTTGTGACCTGAAAACTCTTTTTCCTTTATCAAGAACCTTTTAGACCTCACATAGCTGTGCAGATACACCTGTTTTAGAGTTATTTCTAGTGGTAGGGGCGGGTCCCCGACCCCGCCCTGATGATTTGAGCTGGGGCTGGAGAGGGTGCCACCCTCTGGTTTCTCTCCAAATCTCACTAGGCTTTGAGGTCCTCAAAATGCCTGTGAGAGGAGACACTTGCTTTAAAATCTCTCTTCAGGAGTTTCTGATAAAAAGAACTCCAGAATCCTGTTTGGGACCCAGAGAGGGCCAGGAGCTGACATGCCCTCTTCTTCCTGCCCCCGCCCACAAAGTGTGGTCCCAGGACTGGCTCATTAGTACCATCCAGGAACTTGCTGGGATCACCTAGTAAGTTCTTGTACTCGATCCCAGATTTAAGGAAGCATAAAGTCCGAATGTGGGGCCCAGCAACTTGTGTTTAACAAGCCCGCAGATGATTCTGATGTACACTAAGCCTTGAAAACCACTGCAACAAATGTCAATTTATGGTCCCTTCAATGAGACTTTTCAAAGTCTCACGGCCTCTCTAGGGGCTCCTTGGTCTTCAGAGTCATTCATGGAAAGGCAAAGACTGTCCTAGAAGCAAAAGAAAGAATGTATGTGCGAGCAAGCCTGCTGGTCAACCCATCCTGGGGAAATTTTCCACAAGAACTAAGGGATGTAGCTCAATAAGTCCATAAGAGGGCAGTGTCGCCCACTCATTATAGAAACTGGTACAGAAAGGAATGTGAATTTACCAGAAACAGATATTTCCTTATTATTTTATCTGAGAACTCCAGACTACAAGTATTTATTTATTTTAAGTTTGCTATTTAATAACTGTTTATTATTTTCATTTAATTTTATTTACTCACCGTAAAGCATGTTTCTGAATGGAAGACTACTGAGACTTTTTTTATTTTATTTTTTAACTGAGGCTTTTTTTTTTTTTAAGAAATGAAGTTGAGTTTGATTTTCTAAGGGGTCTTTCTTATTCAGAGGGATTTTTTTCCCCTCTAGTGTTTTAAGTAATTTTTAAAAATAAATGTGGGGAGTTCTGAACAGAGGGACCAGGAGCTGATTTTAAGCTTGTATATGATGGAGGCTTGAATTGTGGGATATATAAATGATGAAGCATATTTATCCTGAAGGTACTTTGCCAGAAGATAACACTTGACCTGGAAAAAGAACTTATATAGTTTAGGAATTTTTTTAAAAAATTCAAGGAAATTGAAAGAAGTACTTAGTCGTTGGAAATGTGATGTCCTATGAAGTTATGTATTATGGGTGATAGACAAAATAGTTTGTGTTAGGTTGTTACGGTGATGTGTCACATTTTGACTTTGGAGACTGTAAGAAACCTGTTAGTTGTGTCTAAGAAAATACTTTTCATTTCTTCAATTTCCATTCCTACAATTGTAATGTTGAAAAATAAGTTGGAAAGTCTTCAGGGTTACATACAAAAAACTTGGCTGTATTATTCAATATGCTATAAATTTATCTAGCCTACACCCATGCTTCCCAATGATGACAGTGTGTCTGAGGAATTATAATTTTAGCAGTAGGGGGAAGGTTTTGCCTCCCTTCTAAGTTGCAGTTGGTCTATGTCCTGGTTTATTATGAAATTAATATTGTCTTTTTTTAAAAAAAATAGTGTAATTTCCCAGACTGCCTTGCATAGATGCTAGCACGGTAGATCACCAGAATGTACTTCAAATTGCTGTTGTGTTAAATCATAAAGGTATAGCTATCATTTATTGATGCTTAAACTTGAATTATATTCTTCCAGTGTCTGAACTGTTCCCTAGAAATAAATGGGCAATTTTGAAAGCAGCAGCAATAGTAGTGACAAACTTTTTTTTTATCATTTGGGTATTTTAGTATACCAAAGTTATAAACTTCTGGAGTTATTACTTTATTTTAGTGACCAACTTTATATCTTTGGAAATGTGTCTGCTTTTGAACAATAGTTACACATAGTAGAAATTCAATAAATGCATCTGAATAATTTAATTAACTGGCTGTATTAATAGGAATTTGTTGATAATGAAATATCATCTATCATATTATTTGTCTGATATAAAGATTGGAACCTCTACCAGTGTTTAATCAATTTCAGCTAAATTGATCCTAGGAAAAAATATTTCTTTCTTTCATGGGAATGTGAATAAGGCTTTTCCTTAAGGTCTTCATTCTATAAACAAACAGGTTGCAATGGTATGTTGTAAAGGGAAGGGAAAGGTGTATTTAGATTATAAGTACTACACAAAAATGTCAGGGTTTGAAAATGCATGTGTTTGTACTAAATGTTTAAGGGCTTCCCTTTTTTGTTTCTTGGGTTTACAATCATTTGGATTATTTTATTTCACAATAAAAGATATTCATGTGGTTCTGTGTTTCAAAGATTCATATATTCGATGCCATATTCTGTTCCATTAAAAAAACAATCCTTAGCAAATATTTTGATTCTAATTGCTTTGATGCACTTACCTGAAGACACTTGTCATTTCCAATATGGTAAATGTTGAAGTCAAAATTATTTACTGGAATAAAAATTAGAAAGATGACTGGAATAAAATCAGTCAGCTTGATATATTTCTCATTCAATAGCTTGGTGTGAAAAGAAAATAGAGGGAATTGAGACACTGAGATAAAGACATTGTCCAGAGATAAATGAGGATTCAGTAAATGTAGGGACTTTGGAATTTATTTTTTTCCCACTGTAGCAAAATCAATCCTTTTTTTTTTTTTTAGGTGATGATAGGATTTAGTGGTAATCTATAGCTAAGCACATAAGCACAACTAGAATTTTCTTTCTTTCTTTTTTTTAGACCTTTTTCTTTATTGAAATAAATTGCTCATACCCTACACTTTTTGATCTTTCTATAATAACTTATAGTTCTATGTTTTCTTGAGTACGGATTAGTAACTTTGAAAAAAGGGAAGATATTCAATCATTTTCACTTAGAATATCAAATATTCAGTATGAAACTCTATGAATCATTTTTTAAAAAGTAATCAATTCATATACAGAAATTCCCTGGTTATCTAGAAAGCAGACTTCAAGCACTTTCGAAGCCTTTGAGCATAATTACAAACTGGGAATTAAATGAAAAGAAAACTAATTAACCAAATTAGCTTCATAAACCCCAAACCCTAGAGAGAGGTAGATAGGAAGGGGAAGGGGGGCATTTCAAAGATTCAATAAAACTACATTCTTCTCTATTAAAAACAAATAATCTTTAGCAAATCTGGCAGTATATCTCAGTAGTAGAGCTCTTGCTTAGCATAAATGAGGCCCTGGATTCAATTCCAAGCACCAGAAAAAGAAAAAAATCCTTAGGAAACATTCTAATCCTAACTGCTTCAAGGCACTTCCCCTAAGATCACTATCACTTTCAATATGGTATATGTCAAAGTCAAAAGGCAAAAGTATCCTTAGAGAGGCAAAACTTTGCCTGAAATCTTGCAAGTCACTGTTCTTAATGGTGCAAGGCTGGCTGGGAAATGTAGTATTTTTAGGAGAGAATAGTGCTGTCTCCAAAATGTGTAGGATTCTGTTGGTAAGGAAGGAAAGGAGGGTAGTTATTGGGGAAGCGGTGCAGCATTCCAGTCAAAGAGCCCATCATGGTTGCTGGCAAGCAGTTGGGGACTACTCTGACAGTGACCTCACTCTGACTGCCAGCCTCGGCATCTGTACCTTGGAAACAATCCTGGGTCTGGACGTTGTGCTTTTCTTGATTGTACAACCAGAAAGAGCAGGTCACTGTTTGCTAAGGTGTTGGCAAGCTGGAATCCTATCTTTGCTGAAACATGGGATTCCTGTAATAACAAATGTCCTTTCCTTTAATTGAAGTAAATCTCCTGTTGAGTTGGCAGGAGGTTGAAATGTTACTTTTTGTTCCTAGCAAACTCATAAGAAGGAAAGTAAACCCTGCTTTGATCTGGAACAGGACAGAGTGAGCCCTGAGATCTGGAAACAATCTCTCAGCAACCAGGGCATTTCAGGAGAAGGGAAATGGTGCTGATAAAGCGAGACCCATCTGGGGGCCAGGCATGCATATTAGGGGTCCTCAGCACAACCACAGCTGACTGGCATTAACACTGGGGTGTAAAGAGAATGGCCTTGAGTATGGTCTTGCCTATGTGGAAGAAGATTGTCTATATGAAGCTACATCTGCAGAATACGATGTTTAATCCCATTTTGTATTTCCAATGTAACCCCCCCCCCCAGTGGGAATGCAAACAAGCTTTAGCCAAGGGTCATGGTCATGGTTTCTGCCTTCCTTACACACAGGAGTAGTCAAATCCTGGTTGGGTACAGTTGCCATATTTACCGGAATAGCTGTAATTGAGAGAAGTTTTTTACGTAGATGGAGTAGGGAGAAAAATGATATCTCAAATCTTTCTTTCAGTGAAAACTTCTTTTTCTAGGCTCCCTGGTTGACATGCAGGCTTTTGCTTCTGCCCTCATCTTATTACTGAAACTGCACACTCAACAATGTCATGTAAGAACAATTAATTTTTTAAGTGCTTAAATAAAATTACATTTAGATTATATAGAAAATAAATGTGGGATGTTTAATGATGATGATAATAATAATAGCTAATTTTTTAAAAAATATTTTTTAGTTGTCGTTGGACCTTTAATTTATTTACTTATATGTGGTGCCAAGAACTGAATCTAGTGCCTCACACATGCTAGGCAAGCGCTCCTCCACTGAGCTACAACCCCAGCCCAATAGCTAATCTTTATTTAAAAAAAAATTTTTTTAGTTGTAGTTGGACATGATACCTTTATTTTATTTATTCATTTATTTTTTATGTGGTGCTAAGGATTAAACCCAGCGCCTTGCATGTGCTAGGTGAGCACTCTACCGCTGAGCCCCAACCCCAGCCCCTCATTCTGTGGTTTAATGAGAAAAAAAATGATGTAGTCTAGGAGCTTTTAAAGGGCTGAGTCAGAAAGGAAAGGAGCAAGGGAGGTGGTGAGGGAAACTCTGGGAGAGGGAAGAGGGTAGAAAGCAAAAAGAGAAAAGTAGGAATAAGCAGGGTCAGGTCTTTACCAGGTGAATGTCTCCTAAAGAGAAGAAATCGACCATCAAATACCATAAAAGCAAACAAGAGTAGAGGAAGGGCAATTATACACTGAACCTGATATCTTGCCTCTACAGGCTCTGGAATATGTGGAGCTGGCATAAAAACCCAAGCAGAACCCTAGACCAGTAATAACTCCTTTGCTGTAGCTATTGTGTTTTGTAGTCAACTCACAAATTTATGGTGTTGGCAATGAACTTCCCGATCTCTGAAAGTTTCCCTCCTCAGAGTACCTTCTTTATAAAGAGGGGGAAGACTTTGGAATTATCTGGGGTACCATTTTCCACCGCTCCAGTCTGGCCTGCTGTCTAAGCTTTCTTATCAAGCTGGTAATCCATTTTTACTTGTGAGCATAAGAGGACACCATTTCCCTTGGTGTGCAGGAGATATTAAGAGAGAGAGTTTTCCTTTGGTGGTCCACAGTCAAGTTGGACCTTGTCCTCACTACTGCCTTCTTTTATGGCAAACTATTGGATTTCTCTCTTCCTCAGGAAGAGTAATCATGGCCCAGGGTAATGAACTATCTCTAGAAGCTCAATTTAGTCTTCTTGTTGGTGTTAGGGATTGGGTCCAGGGTCTTGCACCTACTAAGCTACTCTACCTCTGTGCTCATCCCCAACCCAGTGTACTTCTTTTACACACAAGCACATGATCTTCCCACATCACAACTGCTGCTTTACCTTCTCCTCTTCTTCATCCCTTCCCGATATACATAACACACCCGTGTATATACAGATTATTCATTCATTCCACAAAATACTTATTGAATGCCTATTGTATCCTAGGCACTTTTCTAGGTACTGAGCATAGTGAACAAATGAGTCAAATATCCCTATTATCATGGAGTTTGCATTCCAGTGATGGCAAGGAATGCAAACATAAATAAAGAAGTAAATATTTAGCTTGGGAGATGGTGTGTATTTGTCTCCTATTGTTGCTATAAAAAGCCACCATGAAATTAGTGACTTAAAACAACACAAAAGTGGGTTGGGATTGTGGCTCAGCAGTAGAGCACTCCCCTAGTGCGTGTGAGTCCCTGGGTTTGATCCTCAGTACCACATAAAAATAAATAAATAAACAACCAAAGGTATAAAAAAACAAAAACAAAAACACAAAAGTAGCTGGGCAAGGTGGTACCCGCCTATGATCCCAGTGGTTTTTTGAGACAGAAAATGCCCTCTGTATTTAAAGATCAGAAGCTCAGCATGGCTAAAATCAAATGGGTGAGAGGCAGCGAGGTGGAAGATGGGGTCAGAGGTGCTGGAGCCAGACTCTGTAGGGCTTTACAGTCTGTTGTAAGGACCTTGGCTTGTACTCTAAATGAGAGGGGAAGTCATTGGAAGATTTAGCAGAGAATAATATGATCAAACTTCTGCTTTCAAAGTAATCATATTCCAGAGATATGATAAGGGTATAGATTGGATACAGGAGGCAAGACAAAGAGGGGAGTTTGGCTTGGGTAATTTGGAAGGATGCTGCTGCTATTTGCTAACACAGGGAGAACTGGGGGAGGAATGAGTTGGAGGAGGGATGGAAATAGTTCACTTTTACAGACATTAAGTTTGAGACACCTGATACATTCAAGAAGAAAGTTCCAGCAAACAGATGAGTATATGCAGTTGGAGCTCAAGGACAGAGTTAGAAGGGAATGATACATGAGGTCCTGAGGAATGGGCGGTATTGGGAAATCACAACACTTGTTATGATCCCTAATGAGTAGAAATAGGTTCAGGACTCGGCCATGGGAATAGAGTGGAGAGGGTGGAAGCGAGGAAGAACTAGCCAGGAATACTGAGAGGGAGTAGCCAGAAAGGCAGGAGAAAATCCGGGAGTGTGTGGTGTGTTGGAAAACAAGGGAAATGGATCTTTCAAAGAGAAGGCGGGAATTAGGCATTGTTTTCACAGCGTGGAGGTCCTTAAGAAAAACTTCATGGGAAATAGTGGGGGCAGAGCCTCCTGGAAGTACTTTCTTTCTTGTTTTCTTTTCTAATATTTACTTTTTAGTTGTAGTTGGACACAATACCTTTATTTTATTTTATTTTATTTTATTATGTGGTGCTGAGAATGAAACCCAGGGCCTCACCGTGCTAGGTGAACACTCTACTGCTGAGCTACTACCCCAACCCCTGGAAGTACTTTCAAGAGACAGGAATTGCTGGGCATGGTGGGGTACACCTGTAATCCCAGTGGCTTGGACAGTTTAGGCAGGAAGATTTGGAGTTCAAAGCCACCCTCAGGAATTTAATGAGACCTTTTCTCAAAATAAAAAATAAAAAGGGCTGAGGATGTGGCT